AATAAATAAACAAAAAAATTATGCGGATAATGATTAAATAACAATAATTAAATGATAGACTAAATGATGTGAATAATGCATTTTTATGATTTTTGTTTAATATTAATGAAAAGAAAGTATTTTTAATAATTTTCAATTTTTACGCATTTTTTAATATGGATAAAAGCATGAGGATTAATTAAAGGAGTCAAAATATTTTTTTTAGTTTTTTAAGTCTCTATATTTTTTATATATTTGTATTAATATTTAACTAAAACGAGTGAATTAATTAAATAAAATATTTTTCATTTCCATATGTTTCTAAATTTAATATGTTTTCTTTTTTTAATATAAAGTATTATTACAAGATGACTTAATGGCCTACACTAAATTGAGTATTTTTAACTAATTTTATAAAAGGCCTTAATTAATATAACAAAATTGTTCATTAGTCATTAATACCATTAAGAATAAATATATTTAATTAACTATATAAAAAGGTTGTTTATTATTACTAATTAGAAACAAAAGTGAATTAAGCTGATTTATTAAAACAAACTACAGGAAATAACAAAATGGGCCAAAAGGGGTTTTAGGAGGCCCAAGCTTAATAGTATCAGAAGCAGGATAGGGGGTGGATGAAGCAAATCGTTGGGCTTAGGCAGAAAAATGGGGTAAGGCCCATTTCATAAGTTGTTTCTTTTAGGGGGTTAAACAAAGTTTAGGGAAAGCAAATTAGGGTTAAGGTTTCTGGACAGAAACGGCGCTCCTTGTTGTTCGTCTTCTTCATCTTTGCGCGTTATCCTCTTCAGTCGCTTCTGAAATCTCCTCCTGTCTAATGGCCACCAGCTCCCACTGTCCTCTTCCCTCCAGCCAAACATTAAGGGGGCGACGGATTTCACGGTACACATTTCGTTTTATCACTCGTTTTAGGGTTTCATTGTAAATGCATGTTGTAATCTTTGATCCACTTTGATTCTGATTTCGTTTTATTGTTTGTGGGAGGTGTTATGAAAGTAAAAGGGGGAAGGGGAATCGTTACCTAGAGGTGGAGATGGAGGAGGAACAGTTGGGTGCGACGGAGGCCACGGCAAGGAAGGACAGGCGCGAGCTTGCTTCAGACTACTGGACCCTGGTTTGTGTATTTGTGTCCTTCTTCTTCTTGCTTTGGTATTCTGTATGCTTTTGCTTTGGACGTTGATGCTATGCTGAGACTTTTCCGGTTTCCTTGAATATGCTATATTGGAACACTTTGTTTTGATTAGCTCCCTCTTCTTCTCCTCCTTGTCTTGTTACTGTTGCCTTATGATGCTATTATTTTGACATGGTCTGGGGACATGTTGTTTTGAGGGTTTATGCAGTATGCTGGGTTTTGAATGGTTTGATACAGTAGGAAAAGTTTTAGGCCATGAAGGTTTTGATATGTGGTTTTGGTTCTAGTAATGCAGTAGGTTTATTGCAGGTTAACGGTATGTTGGTTGTGTATGGTTGATGGAAACAGGGGAATGGGTTTTCGTTGTTAGGCCATAAGGTTTTGGTAATATGCAGGCTTATGGTTTATGACATATGTTTGTGGTTTCAATGATTTATCCTTTGTTGGTTTTGAAATGGTGATATTGGCTTTGATGGCTCAATCAGGTTTTCTGAGGTTTAGGCCATATTGTTTGATTTATGTGGGTTTGGCGTTTGACAGTAGGCTATGGTTTTTTGGTGTATCAAATGGTTGAGGTTTTTGATGATGTAGTTGAATGGTTTAGGCCATGTTGTGGTCTGGTTCTACAATGGTTCTATGCAGATTGCAGGTTTATGCAGTAACAGGTTTAGGAGGGCTTGAGGAAAAAAGCTTTTGCTTTTTGATAGTTTTTTGCTTGGAGATAGATTGATTCATGTGTGTAGTGATTTTTGTTATGTTATAACCACTTTGGCCTTCAGGTTTCCCTTGAGGGCTTTGATATATTTTTAATATATTCTTGGTACTTCTGCACCCTTACTGCTCCATATGGTTTGTCTCTATTCCTATTTCATGTTTTTACTTCCTACTGACTGTGTTACTGCAGTTTGTCTTGTATCTCTTCCTGCCTAAACCAAAACCTGCAAAAACCAATTTTCTTTCTCTCTTCTCTCTCTCAAGTACATTGATACATAAAATGATGTGTACTATTTTTTTCTGAAATTGTAACAGAGCTGGAATATGATGAATGAGGAAATATTATTGCTTGCATAATGGTTTTGAACTGAATCTTTCTTTGACTTCCAATGCAACAGTAGAGCCTATTGTTTTGGCTTCTACTATGTGCATGGCATGTAGGTTTACGTTGGAAATTTTTTTGTGCTTGCATATGCTGTGTATATTTGAAATATGCATGGGACTTTGAAAAATGCAATGGATTTTTTAATTATGCAGTTTTTTTAAAAATGAAATGAATTTTGTGCATGTTTCACAATTGTGCATTCATTTATGAAATAAAAAATTCGTCCCTTTTTTGTGAACCGGGAGAAATCCCGTGATTTGCAAAAAAGAGTAAACTGATTCCAGCCGTTGCTTTTAATGATGAACATAAAATAATTTTTTTGCTTTTAATTATTTGTTCAATTCTAATTTTCTTTTAATCGTTTTGCAGGTAAAATCAAGTGAGCAGACAAAAAGGCATTGGATAGAAGATTTAGAATTAGAAAACATTAGATTAGTTTTTATTTCATTTTAACTTTGTAAAATTATTATTGTAAATTCGTTGTAATAAATACAATATTTACACAATAATTGTACAATTAGAAGAAAAATGAATAAAATTCCAATATTTGCCAATTAATTTCTTCCTTCTCTAATTATTTATTTTATCGTTTACAATTCTTTAAATCGTATAATAATTGAAAATAAATCTCAATTACTTAAATCCAGAATAATAAACAAATAAATAAATAATGTCATTGATCAATTAATAGTTTCAATTATTTAATTCATTATTCATAATTTTCTAAATTATAATAATTAAAATAGAATTTCAATTATTTTAACTTAGAATGATAAATAATTAAATAATCATTATTGACCAATTAATGAACTTTTTCGAATATTTATTATATTATTCATAAATCTTTAAATTATGTAATAACCGATTAATACGCCTCTTTTCTAATATTTATTTTATTATCTATACATCTTTAAATTATATAATAATTGAAAACAAATTCCAATTATTTAAATTTAAGATAATAAATAATTAATAAACATGGTTTTAGCATGAATCGATTAAATAATTTAGTGTTCAAAATAAATAGCTCTCGACCTGAAAAAAGTTATGAATTTTTTAAAATCAATAGATCAAAACACTTGTAATGTAATGATGCAGATGGGAGATGGTATCTTAGGTCAAAATTTGGGGTACAACAATTGTGTATTGGCGTTGGTTCTAAAATAAAAGTGTTTTGATCATGAACGAAGAACTCGCTCATGTTGGAAACCAGTTCAATTTCATGGGGAGTTTGAATGTGTTCAGAGATTTAGCTTGAAGTGGCCATGGAGATGACATAAAGTTTTCTAGGTAAGAAGGAAAATGAAATCTTCTATAGGGTACAAAGACAAAGAGATTGAGTATGCAAAGAAACGTAAAGAGGAAATTGGAGAGATGAAAGGGATATTATACCATCAAGGAGACCAAACATTGGAGAGAAAGAAAAAACTTGTGACTATACGACTGACACGTGCCAAACAGATGGCAACTGAGTTGAAGAAGTTGGTGAGTTAGAGGCCACGATTATCCTCAGAAGTTGAACTAGAAAATAGGAAAGTGACTGTGTGATCGTTGATGTAACGTTTGAGGGGAAATGTCATGATTACAATGACGTCGCTTCACACTAAGAGAAAAGGATTAAAATATCCATTTCTGTTCTTTCAGCCGAAAAGGACATTTTGGAGGGCAATTGTTGGCTAGGATTTTCACAAAGGGTTAAAATCCAACCAAAAGCAAAATAGGTTCTTTGAAGACTTTGAATTATAGGAAATCGACCACAGAAGCAGTTGACCGGAAGAAGTTTCATAAAAGGCCAATTTGGACCTGTGGATGCAGTTGACAAGAAAAGAGGCCTTATGAAGAATGGATTGGGCCCAAGAGAGTTAAAAAGCCCAAAAGAGGGCATAACTAGTAAATCAAAGTATTGTGATTGGAGAACATGGGTTCGATAGCAGGAGCGGAGAACGTGGGTTCATCGACGGAAGTTACAAGAGACACGTGGCTCATAAAGAAGCAAAGTCCGTTGGAAAACATTTATTTTCATGTATTATAAATAAAGCACTTAGTGCATAGTGTAAGAGGTTCAAACTTTCACATTCCTACACACTAGTCACTCAGAGTACCCAAGCGAACGACCGAAATGAGTCAAGCAAGGTCGATGTATGTTTGAATCAACTCTTTTTTAATTATTTTGATGTTATGTCATCTATTTTTACAGTTTAAAACATCTTTGTTTTATTTTATAGTTCATGCTTTATTGTTTTTTAATTCGTGTCGCCTTAATCGAACGAATCCTTTTGAACATATTTAAAAACATTCAAAAACTGAAACATTGTACTAAGATTCCCTGATAATCTCGCTAATAAATTTTCTATTAAAAGATCAACATTTTACTTTCTTTTTCTACTCTCATGGTTGATTTTGGTCTCCCAATAAAAAGTGGTTAGAAAGTTTTGTCATTAAATATTCTTTTGGGTACAATTGTCCTTTAATTTAATCTCAATGTTTTATTTGCATGAAATAACTAATATAAAATACTTTAGTAAAGTTAATGGATTAACATGTATTTTTTTAGTTAGTGGACAGTCATGAATTTCAAAGTAAAAATAATATAATAAAAAAGTGATTTTGCCAAATCATTACAAAAAAAATCAGAATATGTACAAGACACAATCTAGACATTTCCAAACATGAATATGTAACAAGTGTCATTTTTTAGTCGTTATTGTGATTTTCCCTCCAAGGCGGTAATCGACGAAACCACGTTTCACTTTTCTGCAGCAGTCACCAATGGAGGAACCTACCTTCGAACCTGTACGGTGACCCTATAACCCTTTCTTCTCCGTTCCACACTTCACAGCACCTTTATTTTTATCGCATCTTAAATCAATACATGCTTTCTTCGTTAATATCAGGATCTAATCCATTCCATCATGAAGCGTATTTGGACATTGCGAACTCTTGGTTATATACCTTATCCTAATTTCTCTATTTATATATGAAACCCTAACTATATCGTTTTAATTTCTTAAAATTATTTGTCTTTATACTTGCAGAACGTGAAAATGTTGCAACCAACGATGCTGCTTTGGACTCCGAGGTTTTCAAATTTTTATTCTTATCAAATTTCTAACATATGCATGCTATATGTTTGTTGGTTGGCCTCAGAGAGTCAGACCTAAGATGATTGGTTTTTAGTGGAAAACAATGTAGCACTGACACCTCTGAAAAATGACGTGTTAGACGCATGTGATTACGTCCCATTTATTATTTTTTCAAATTATTGCTGGTGTCAAAGTGTCGGTGTCCTGTCTGGTGTAGTGTCTCGTGCTTCTTAGACCTAAAATCCACTTTCTTATGTGGGCTTTACTCAATGCAATGGTTCTAAGACATTTTAGGAGCCGTGCTTATTAGATTTCTTTGTGTGGGCTTTACTCAATGCAATGTAAACTATCCTTGGTTTCTTCCTTTGTTCCTTCCGAATGCCGTGTTATTTGTTTTTACTGTTGTTGACATCTATGGCATTAGGTTAAGTATTGCTTGCAGGATATCTCAATATCAATCATTTTATTGGATACAAAATACCTTCATATGCTGCATATAAATGTGTTTTTCGAAAACTTAATTAATTGTTACTTTTGACTAAGTCATTGAGAAGCCTTCAACTTGAAATTATGAACATGTGAATCTGAATGGCCATGAAAAGTTCTTGTAGACTATATGCTAACAGGTTATTTAAGAAATTTGTATTCTCACAGCATTAAGAGTTAGGTGTATATTGCACCTTTTGATAAAGGCAAGAGGGTTTTGTGTTATTTTTCGTTATAAATGAGAGCTATATGTAATGAAGCACAAATTACAAGAGAGTGCATAGTAGTTTATTTACTGTGTTTTTTTTACTATATCACACTCATTCAAATTTGTAATTCTTTATGTCTCAAAAATATTAACGACGAACCATATTGGGTCCAACTGTTTCCCTTTCAATCTCCTTTCTTCATTATTTAGGTATTGCGACATTTGTTTTTATGGCATGGTGGTTGTCCATTCTCAATCTATTTAACATAAGACTTGATCTACAACAGTGTAGTTTATATTTGGCTGGGTGCTATCAATGGGAGTAGCATCTGTAAATGGTCATGCATTCTCTAGTATTTTAATTATCTTTAGTTGCAGAGCATCTCCTACTTAATTGTTGCATTGTCAATAATCTGCAAATGCGTTTTTACTGCTACAGGTAGGAGCCGGATCGTCAAAGAAGAATCGGACAACTTCTGGTATTTATGTCATTATCATTCTGTTAACAAATTTCTTATTTGGTGGGGGGTTCTGTCATCATGTCACACTATAGTTGTGTTTGCATTGCAAATTGGATGTTTACCATAACGCATCTGTCCATATTTTCTGATGCAGCTAATGCTAGTGCTCTGAAGCTTACCTGTGAACTTCTCCGGATTTTTGTCACAGGTTCATCCATATTAAAAAGAGAAACACATTAATGTTTTCTCAATACTATGATTTGCACATATTATATGTCATATTGTTTTTGACAAATCTTTGTACGGATGCAGAGGCTGTTCAGCGTGCTGTTGCTATTGCAGAGACTGAGGGTGATGGTCAAATAGAAGCTACTCATTTAGAGAGTATTCTTCCTCAATTACTTTTAGATTTCTAAAGCATTTGATAATTTGAAATACTCATCTGTGACTTCTACCTCCCCAATCATGATGAATCTAGTGAAAAGCACATTAGGCTCATAAAGATTTTTGGCGAGAGCTAGTATCAAATACAACTAATTCTCTACATTGAAATTAAAAGAAATGGCTGGTTCTCCCGTTTCTTTATATTTCTATACTTGCTTGACTATTCTTCCGCTGAACGTTTTCCACCATCCGATTATATGATATTTTAAACACACCCTGGTGCAATTTCTGTCTAATGGCAATGGAAAAAAGATGTTAAATTCTTCGATTTACTGTTGTAGAAGATATTAGTCGGGATCAGAGACATTATGCCAGCATACTAGATGTCAGAGTTAATCCATACAATCTTGTACTAGATTAATGCATACTACTTGCGTCATTGTATCTTGTGTACTATTTTTAGTTGTCTTTCAATTTTAAATTTAATACTGAGAGAAATAATCGAATTTGATCTTCAAAGAATAAGTTTATTGGTTATCATAGGATAACAATTTACTCTTCTATACAAAGGATTAAATTGCTGACTTTGTTGTGTAGAGTTGAAAAGAAGATAATGCTAATGTAAGGACTAGCCAAAAGGTAATTGAGAGTGGTCTTACCGTGTGCCTAGATGATGCTTTTACAAGTGTTTTCACATTCGCTTGTTGATCATTGTGTTATAATATGTTGTTGGATGTATCTTGAATTTAGAGGATCAAATACAAAAATAGTTTTTGCACACTATTCTATAGTACAAGTTACTTAGAGATGTTTCAATATTTTTTTACAATGAACCAAATATTGGAGAAAAAAATTATTCTCATCTTGCTATTATCAAAATTAAGAATAGAGGTTATTGCTTTTCAAACCAATTTGGTTCAACAATTTTACATTTTGATAATGACAGATATATGTATTTTCAATTTTCAACATGGCTAGAGGAAATAACTAAATAATTTTATTGAAAATAAATAAATAAGAGTAAATCATTTTAAATCAAATATACATTTTTCTCTCTTTTATCATCAAACAAAAAGAGTCATGAAGTGTGTCTTAAAATCTTTGTTGATTAAGAGAAAAAAAAAGTTTCGAGATTGGCAAAGAGAAAAAAATGTTTCGAGATTGGTAAAATCAGGAAGTCGAAAAGCAATAAAAATGTTCAATTTAGAGAGTTTGTGGATTTCGAGTTTGATCGATTCAGTTTACGAATCTGTTATTTAATGTTAGAATAGTGAATATATATTAATTTAGAAATAATCTAAATTAATATAAAATATATTATAAAATATTTATAATATTTTATTTTAATAATTAATGGATTGTGTTTTTTAAATTTGAGTTTTTGTTATTTTATATATATCTTTGTTGTGTTTAGGGAGGGCAATCTTAGAATTTACAGAAAAAGGGATAACAGGGATTTAGGGATGGCAACGGGGCGGGTTTAGCTAACCCCGCACCCGCAACTCCAGTAATAGACCCGCCCCCGCCCCCAAACCCGTCGGGGGATGGAAATTCACCCCCAGACCCGCCCCCAATGGAGAACGGGTCACCCGCACCCACCCGCGAAAACTGTTTTTTTTAAATAAAAAAATATCTATTTTTTTCACAAATTTCCTGGACAGCATTAACAAATACATTAAAAATACAAAATTCGCCATTGATTTGAGTAAATAATTGTAGGATTTAATATTCAAACACCATTCCAAATATTTTTCTATCATAACCCTTCAATCAACTATAATTGGTTGTGAACTTGTGATTCATTAAAAGAGTGCAATCTTTCAATATATCAAAGTATAAATCACTCCCAACAACCAACAATTTTTTTGCAAAGTACAAATACAAAATTAAAACAATACAATCAACAAAAGAACCATTCCAACAACATGGTTCTAAGAAGCTGAGAAAATAAAAGTAACATAAAAATAATTAAAACAAGGTTATTATAGTAATTGGATTATTCGGGGCGGGGCGGGGCGGGGCGGGTGCGGGTGCGGGCGGGTCTCAGTTTCTTACTGCCCCCGCCCCCGCATCCGTAGTTAGAAACCGGGTTTTACCCGCCCCCGCACCCGTACCCGTTTTAGCCGGGTTTTCCCCGTTAATTTCGGAGCGGGTCCGGGCGGGGTCCAGCGGGTCTGGATTTTTTTGCCATGCCTACTGGGGTTTAAGGTCAAGTGAAGGAAAATTTTAGAAGAAAAAATGTTTAGAGACCTTTGGGGTTGCTTAAGGTTATTATGAAACAATGATTACAACTTGGGTTTGAGTTATTCACATATCAAGAGTTGAAGAGATTGAAAAATATTTGGGTAAAAAATATGGTTATTTTTGGACGCCTTTAAGGTTTGTTATTCGGAACCTGAAGGCAAAGACTATTTTCTTATAACTCATATGTAATATCTTATAACAACTTTTTAAGTATAGTGAATTTGAGAGCTACTCTCTCTTAGAGTAGATTATTTGATCGAACTGGATAAATAATTGTTGTAGGTTATTTATTTTGGTTACTACTATTTTTTGCCTCACAAATTGATAGTGAACATTGTCGTAATTCATAACAAGTGGTGCCCACCATGGGGCAATGTGGTATTATTTACAAGTGAGCACCATGCATAAATGAGAGATTGAGAGATTTTCCAATAACAACGGCTCTGGGTTGTGGAGAATTAAGATGTAAGTAATTTTAATTCAAGAGAAGTGTATCGATGTTTTGAAGAATGAAGCATTGATGTCTACATGGCTTAAACAAGTATAAAAGACTGATATGGTGGATAAGGCCATAAGTGTTATTATCTTGTGCCTCAGGGATACAATTCTAAGATAAGTCGTCAGGGAGTAAATTGCAGTTGTTATGTGGTCAAAAATTAAATCATTGTATATAACCAAGTCTTTGACTCATATGTTGTGTCTGAAACAACAACTTTATTAATTTCGAATGGTTGAGAACAAATCCATAGTTGAGCAGCTTACAATATTTCACAAGATTATTGATGATCTTGAGAATATTGAAGTGAAGATTGAAGATGAGGACAATACTTTACTATTGTTAAGTTCATTACTCAGATCTTTTGAGAACTTTAAGGATGCCCTTCTTTATGGTAAAGAAGGTACTATCACTTTGGATGAAGTTCAAACAACAGTAAAATCTAAAGAATTTTCAATGGAAAAAGATTTGAATATTGAAAATGGTGGTGATGACTTAAGTGTGTCAAGAGGAGGAGGTGAACGTAAAGGGATGTCCAAATAAAAGAGGTTTTACAAGTCAAAGATAAAATATTTTAATTGTTATAAAATCAATCACTTTAAGAAGGATTATCTTGAGAGAAACGTCAATGAAGATTTTGTTCAAGTTGCAGTTGCCTTGGATGAGGATGGTTATGAGGATGTCAGTGCACTAGTTGTATCAAGTTTGGAAATTGAAGACAGTTGAGTCATTACTCAGGTTACTCTTATCACATGTGTTCAAGAATAAAACACTATGAAACTTTGAAGATGGTGCAATGTGAAGTAGTTCACCTTGGTGATAATAAGTCTTACAAGGATCATGGTATTAGTATGGTCAAATTTAAAATGTTTGATGACTGTGAACTTCTTCTTCACAATGTGAGGTATGTTCCAGAACTTAAACGAAACTTGTTATCTATAAATATGTTTGATGATCTAGACTTTTACACTAGAGTTGAACATGGAGAATTGAAGATCTCACATGATAAATTGATTATTTTTAAAGGGTATAAAATATGTGGTCTATATTTTTAGAAGGTTCAAATGTTGTTATCCATTCATCATTAACTAATGGAGGCTTTCATGACAAGGAAAAGCTATGAGATTTGAGGTCAATGCGTTATGAATGTCTTGAGATAGTTTCAAATTAGTATAATAAATTTTGCAGAAAACAAGGGATAAAAATGCATATGGCCGTTGAGTTGTTATTGAGATTTTGGGGAAAAGCTTATGTCAAAATAATTTACTTGGTTGATAGAGAGTTTATTCAGAGGAAGAATAGTAGAAACCAAGGGAAAACATGTTAGAAACTAGAACGAAGATAACTCAATTTGAGGTGGAGTTTCCTACTATAGATGCTAGCAGTAGTGAGGGAACGATTACAAAGATCTCTGATTATCACTTGACTTGTGATAAAGTAATGAGTGTTATTGTAACATCTCAAAGGGACAATTTTTCTAGTTTGGATGTTATGCTTTGAATGTGGCTGAAGAGTTGCAAAATTCAGAAGAAATGATCTTCACGGAGGCATTTGAAAGTAGGTGACTGGTTGGAAAACCATACGTGTGGGCTTGTTATATTACCTAGGCAGAAAAGGGTAATTGGTGTTATACGGCGGTGACTTATCAAGAAGGGGGAGTGAATAAATCGCCAAGCTAAAATACCAATTAAAATTAGAGTTTTAAAAAGTTATTAAAAAGAGTGCAAGCATAAGGTTTTGATATAGATCGATAAAAATCGTCTATATGAACCTAGTTATTGGAACTCAGATATGTAATTAAGCCTTATGAAATGAACAATACAATAATATTAATTTATACACTTGAAATAAGAAATACAATATTATTCGTTTATAGCAAATTACTAGTAATTATATTTCCAATGAAATTAACCAAAAATAATGAACTATACAATTTGTCAAGCACTTGGTGTGCGAACGAATTTTCATAATTTTCTTTGAGTTGTATTGATATGAAAAATCACTTATAATCAAAGTGATTATAAGCTAATCAACGCCCAATTCAAAACAAAAACAACCACATAAAAATTCTTACGAGTCGATCGATCAATCAATGCTATTTAACAAATTGCTTAATGAAAAGTAAAGTAAGTAAAGAGATAAGAGAGAGAGAGAGAGAGAGAGAGAGAGAGAGAGAGAGAGAGAGAGAGAGAGAGAGAGAAAGAGAGAGAGAAGAGTATTTGTTTTTAAGAATTTTACCAATCTTCCTCGCTATGGCTACGTGTCCCCCCAATTCTGTTTCGGAATTAGGAT